CAGAGGTGGGACTAGGACACTATAGCTCGAATCTCGGTCAAAGTCGGCCTCCCGATGACGAGATTGAAAGACGAAGCCATCTTCACTACCAAGAATCTGACTGAGGGAGTTACATACGTCCGTCCAGAGCCAAACCCCACGTTGAGCCGCAGCACTCCTTCCACGGGTACCGGCTGGTTGTTGAACCCGTAGATGGGCCCGTCGTATTTTTGTAGAAGGGCAGGGTCGAGTCTGAGGCTCTCAAAGCAATGGTAATACATTATATCTGGAGCACTGCCGATGTCAATGAGTGCACGTTGGACCTCACAATTGTTAATGATGACCGAGGTGACTAATGGATCGTTGTGGGGCGTGACGACCCCCTCGAAGTCAGTCGAAGTGAATGTCATAGACTGGTTTTTCCAATCCTCCTCGTCGATCTTTCTTTTCTGGGCTGTATTGTGGTACTTGACCTCTCTCACGTACAGCTTCTACTGTTTGGAGCTTGTGCCTCCTGCTTCGGGTCCACCAGTTATCATGTGAATAAGTCTGGATGGGGGTGGGAGAGGTGGTAGTGCTTGTTGGTACCCTACCCCATCTCTGCTGTTTGTTGTCCGGGACCCCTGGGCTTGTTGTCCTTGCTCTTTGACAAACTTCTGCAAATTTCTGTTTTGGATGAATTCATTTAACATCCATTTCCGGGCCAAGCTTTCCAGCTCGGATTTCAGACTATGGCAGTCTTCTGTAGTATACCCGTGATCTTGGTGAAAGTCACAGTATCTAGTGTGGTCTCTGCTTGTCGTTGGGCTTCGTAGGGGGGCCGGTCTCCTCAGCTCCATTTTATTCTTGATTTGCATGAGAATTTGCAACCTCGAAACTGTGAAGGAGGTCCACGAGGGTTGCCTAGGTTGCATTTGCGGGGCATTGGAGCCGGGCCTGTCTAGTTTGGGAACCGGAATTGGGCCTCGGTTTTGTGTGGGTTTGAACTTCTTTCTGCTCTGCCCTTCTTCTTTCCATGCAGGAACTCTAACTTCTTTTGAGGGTTAGGGTTTGGAGAGGACATATTCCTCGGCCTTAATGAATTTAAGGGATCTCTGATTGACCTCGTCAAAAGTGGTCGGGGTGTGCTTGATCAAGTTATCTCGAAACCGATCATGGTTGAGGCCTTGTATCACGGCGGTTATTCCTACTGCTTCATCGAAGGCATTGACCTCTAGCATGGCATCATTCAACCTGTTCATGTAGTTCTTCAAGGATTCGCCTTTTCTTTGCATTATCCGCATGAGCTCAGGTGTCGTCTTTTTGATCAACCTTCTGCTCGAGAATTTGGTGGCAAATGAGGTGGCCAGCTCGGCATATGCACTAATTGAGTTCGGACGCAGGGTGTGATACCAGGTCCGGGCATTGCCGCATAACGTGGAGGGGAACATCTTACACATTAGTGTGTCTGAGGCGTTTTGAGCCTGCATGACGAAGAAAAAGGCGTGTAAGTGGTCATCAGGGTCTTTAGTGCCATCATACGTTTCAAATTGTGGCATCCTGAAACCAGGCGGATATGGTTCTTGGGTAATTTTGGTATTAAGAGGAGTGGGGATGGAAGTTGGTACAGGTGGGACTTGTGGTTGTGGGTTTTTGTTCTCGACTAGCAGTTTTTCTATATTGTCTAGCCTTCTTGAGACATCTGAGACAGCTAGTTGAGGCGGGTTTTGGGGCTGGGGTGGAATATGGGATTGTGCTTGGGAAGTAGTTGGGGTGATACTACGGGCTGGGGAGTTGACAGGCTGCTGAGCTGGTTGGGGGGCCCCAGGGTGAACTGGATTTAATAAGTGGATAAGTGGGTCAGTGGAGTTATCTCTGGCTAACAGCTGGGCGAGCACTAGCTGGAAGACCTCGAATTGTTGTTGCATAGCATTAAGTTGAGTGGTTACAGGGTCGTTTGCTACGGCGTTGGGGTATTGTGGATTATGTTCCCCAACTCCCTCCACTTGCTGATGTTGGGCGGCTGCAATCGGTACATTCTGTGACACGGGATTGACACTTGGGGGCTGGCCTCTTCCTTGGCCTCAAGGGGGGCTCCCACGCTAGGTTGTTTGTGTGTGTACCATCTCAATCTCTGGTGATGACTTTTGTTCGCTTTCCCACAGACGGTGCCAATGTTGTTGCTGAATATCCTTGAGTTCCTACTCCGAGCTGGTTCTTCTTCAAGTGGTCCTGTAAAATCCCGAGGTTGGTCGTCGGGGAGAAACTCCGATGTTTAAGTCAATATCTTTCTAATTATCTTTTTCTCTTTTGTTCCGCCTTATTTATCGAGCCTTACCTTGTGGGCTTTATCCCTCTTGGCAAGGCACCCACGTGGCTTGTCCACACCCATGTGGCTTAGTCAATCCAATAATGGTGACATAGTGCGCCTGACGGAGTAGACGTTTTAGGTGAATGTAATGTGCCTTAACGGAGCAATCGCATTAAATGCGTGTGGTGCGTTCTGGCGGAGCAGGTTCCTTGAGAAGGGGTGTTCTGATACGGACAAATGATCAGATGAGGGCATGCCTATTGTGGCTGTCATACACCTACGGTGAAATGCCGAGGTGCGGTAAACCCTGAGCTCTGCAGCCGAGGTGCGGTTAGCTCTGAGCTCTGCAGCCAAGGTGTGGTTAGCTCTGAGTTCTAAACCTTGCCTTGTGTCTCGTATAGCTACCCTTACACATATCAATCTCAATCCATCCAAGTAGCCGTGTGTAAGGCTACACCCTCCCCTTTGACCTGATAAACATGGAAAATGCAGCAACATAGGGTTTGATTTATGACCTAACTTTGGCAAGTCGTGCCGTTATTTCTTCTAGTTCTTTCTCATCATCCACTGCCTCAGCAAAAGCTTCTTCTTGTTAAGAGTCAAAGTAG